AGGTACTTCATTCCAACCCTCCTTGTCTCCTGGTGCTCAGGCAACTATTAATCACCTTTTTGTCACTATAGTATGCATTTTCTAAAAGTTTATGACTAAGGTCATAAAATATATACCCTCTTTTATCTGTCTTCTTTCATACAGCATGATGTTTTTGCAGATTCATCCATACTGTAGTGCAGATCAGTAATTTATCCCTTTACATTGCCAAGGAGTGTTACATTGAATGGATATACCACAGTTTGTTTAAACTCTCACCTGTTGTTGAACATTTGGATTGCTTCAGGTTTGGGGCTAGTATAAATAGAGCTGCTGTGAACATTCTTTGTGAACATGATCTTTTTTTCTCTTGAATAAGTAGGAAGGGATTGGCTGAATCATATGATAGGTGTATCTTTATCTTCTGAAGAAAATGCCCAACTTTCTTCTACATAATTGTACCGTTTTACATTACCACCAGCAGGGCATAAGACTTCCACTTCCTCTTCATTCTTGTCAGCACTTGGTATAGTCTTCAAAGATTTTTTAGCCATTCTAATAGGTGTGTGATTGTATCTCTTTGTGGTTTTAATTTACATTTCTTTAATAACTAATGTTGAGCATCTTTTTATGTCCTTATTTGCAAGCCACATCTTTTTTTTTGGTGAAATATTTCTTTAGATCTTTTGCCTGTCTTTCAAATTGCATGTTTGTTTTCTTATACTGAGCTTCGAGAGTGCTTTATTCTGGATAAAAGGTCTTTCTATATGTATTATTCACACTTATTTTTCTCCTACTCTGTGACTTGTTTTTTCCTTCTTGGTTTAGTGTTTTCTAAAGAGCAGAAGTCTTTAATTTTGAAGTCTACTTATTAGTTAACTATTCTGTGGATTATGGTTTAGATGTCCTATACCAGATATCTTTGCATGATAAAAAACCAGAGTGCTTTGGAAGTTTTGTAGTTTTAGGTTTTCCATTCGGATATGTGATCCCTTTGGATTTCTGTGTGGTCTCACAGTGTCGTCACTTTTGGCGTATGGATGTCCCGTAGTCTGTGTTGATTTCCCTCTGCACCTTCAGGAAAACTCAGGCAGCCACATACGTGTGAGTCTATTCTGTTCCGCTGATCTATTTGTTTATCTTTAAACTGTCTTCATAATTTTGGCTTTATAGTAATCTTGAAATTAGCGTAGTATTTTCCTTCCACTTTTGTCTTATTTTTAAAAATGATTTTGGCTATCCTAAGTTCTTTGCATTTCCATGTGAATTTCTACAAAATGTCTGTTGGTATTTTTATTAAGCTTATATTGAATCCATAACACCTGTTTGCAGAGAATTTTAACAATATTAAGTCTTCTGACCTATGAACATGGTACGTATCTCTCCATTCACTTAGGTCTTTAAAATTTTCTCTTATCATTGTTTTGTAGTTTTCAGTATTTTACATCTTTTTGTTAGATTTACCATTAGTTATTTCATATTTTTGATGTCGTTACAAATAGTATTTTAAATTTTATTTTCTGATTTATTCTTTCAGTTTCTGATTGTTACTTGTATATGAAATGTAATTGATTTTTGTATATTGGTCTTGTATTCTTTAAGCTTGTTAAACTCAGTTATTTTTATAGATTCCATTGAATTTTCTACATAGACAATCATTCCATCTGCAAATAAAGACTGTTTTATGTCTTGTTTTTCAGTATGGATGCATTTTATTCATTTTTGTTTTATTGCACTGGCTAGAACTTCCAGTGCAATATTGAATCTACATTGTAATAGTAGATATCCTTCTCTTGTTTGTAAATTTAGAGGCAAAGTATCCAGTTCTTTTCTGTTTGGCATGATATTAGCTGTAGATTTTTCATAGATATCCTTTTTACCAAGTTGAGGAAGTTTCCTTCTATTCTTACTTTTCTAAATGATCATTTTTTAAGGAATGGATGTTGGATTCTGTCACATGTGTTTTCTGCATCTACTGATAGGATCATACAGTTTTCCTTTTTTCACTTCACAAATACAGTGAATTAAATTGATTTTGAATATTAAACAAGTGTGCATTCCCAGGATAACCTTACATGGTCAAGGTGTGTCATATTGTTGGATTTGATTTGCAGTTTTTGCATTTGTGTTAAGGAGAGATTTTGGTCTGGAGGTTTCTTTCTTTCTTGTGACTTTTTGTCTGATTTTGGTGTCTGGATAATGCTGGCTCATGGAATTAGGTAGTTACCATTCCCTCCTTTTCAGTTTTCCAGAAGAATTTGTTTATAATTGGTATTATTTCATCCTTAAATATTCGGTAGAATTCTCCAAAGAAACTTTCTGGGCCTGGAGTTCTTTGAGGGGTGGTTTTAACTAAAAATTTGATTTCTTTGAAAATACAGGGCTCACATTTTGAATGAGCTTTGGTAGCTTGTGTCTTTCAGAATAATTATTCATTTTATTTAAATTATCAAATGTATTGCCGGGTATTTTTAAACAGCAGTGATATCTGCAGTGGTGTCACCTCTCTCATTTCAACCGTTATATTTTAAAGAAATTTGAGTATCAAGACAAAACCTTAAAAAAAAAAAGACAAAACCTTATATGCTTACCATGAAGTTCCCATTTCTATATCAAAGTATTCCTTTCTGTGTATAGATCTGTATTCTAATCAGGTATCCTGTTCCTTCTGCTTAAAAGATATCATTTTACATTCCTTGTAGTTTGGGTGGGCCCATAATGAATTCCTTTAGCTTCTGTATGAAAAAAAATGACTTTGTTTCTCTTTTATTTTTGAAAAATACTTTCTATGAACATAGATCTAGATTACAGATTTTTTTTCTTTCAGTACTTTAAACATGCTGCTCCACTTCTCTTCTCAGTTGCATCGTCTCACTTTAAATTTTTCCTTTTTTCAGTAGTTTTGAACAATTTGGTCATGATATTCATTGGTGTAGTTTACATGTTTCTTGTGCTTTAGGGTTTGTTTGTTTGTTTGTTTGTTTTTAGCTTTTTGGATGTTTATAGCTTTATTCAGATTTAGAAGTTTCTGCCACTCTTTCTTAAAAAATAATTTTTTTGACTTTCCATGTCATTCTTCTCCAGTTACTGGATCTATTAGGTGGCTTAAAGTTGTCCTAGAGTGCAAATGATGATCTGTCCTGATAATCTGGTTTGTTTTTGTTTTTTTCTTTTCACTCCTTTCTTCCTGAGTTTCATTTTGGACAGTCTCAATTTCTATGCCTCCAAGTTTTCCAATATTTTTCTTCCAACATGTCTAATATGCTGATAATCCTATCCAGTGTACTTTTTAATTTTACGTATTGTAATTTACATCTCTGGAAACTTTATTTGGGTCATTTTTATATCTTTCCTGTTCATACTTAAATTTTTGAACATATGAAATACAGGTTATACACTTAATGTCCTTGTCTGCTAATTCTAACATCTATGTCAGATCAGAATCAGTTATTATTTTTTTCACCATCACTTGCATTTTCCTACCTCTTTGATAATTTTTTGTCAGATGTCAGACATTCTGAATTTTACTTTGTTGGATGATGGACATTTTTGTTTTTCTATAAATATTTTTGAGCTTTGTTCTTAATACACAGTTATGACACTTGGAAATAGTTTGATCCTTTTCAGTCTCTCCTTTTGATATGTTTTATAAAACCAAAGAAATGCTTGGAATAGGGTCAATTATTCCCCCTTACTAAAGCAAGATTCTTCTTCATACTCTACCCAGTGTCCCATGACTTAGGAGGTTTTCCAGTCTGACTGGTGAGAACAAGTGATACACCTGTTCTTCCGTGAGTGTTGGACACTTTGGATCTTTCCCGGCCTCGGGTGGGAGGATTTCCTCCATGGTATGTGCTGATAAGTGCAGAAGTGAATACCTGATAAGGACCCTCTTCATTGCTTTCTTTCCTTTTCTCTCCAGCTGTTTTCTTCATTACTCTGGAAATTTCCATCAACATTCTCCTTTCCTGTAATGTGGGTGACAGAAAACAAATGTTTTCTGTCTCTCAAAGATCAGTCTTTGTGACCTGAGGTTCACTGTTTTGAAATATTGTTTCATGTATTTTGTCTGTGTCTTGTTTGTTTCAGGAAGGAGGGAAAATCTGGCCTCTGTTACTCAGTCTTGGCTGGAAGTAGAAATCATGCCCTTTTATTTTATCTAGTTTTCTACTTTAAAAACATTTAAAATTTTCAATGGAAAAATTCATCAGTCTTTACCTTAATGACTTTGTCTTTGGCATCATATTTAGAAACACGGCAGTGTTTGAAGTGCACAAAAAATATTTACCTGTATTTTTCCAAGGACTTTGTCTTATTTATATACACATTTGCATAGCTTATTAATATGGAAACGACATTCTAGATAATTTGGAAAATAGCTAAAATGGAAGGGAAAACAACTCTAATTACATCACCAAAAACAAAACAAATATACATATTAACATATTTCCTGTCATGCATTTTCCTGTGCCTTTGTTTTTTAGTTGTAATCCTAGTGTGTCAGTCATTTGGTGTGTTCATCCAGTATATTATATCATCGGTATTTACCATGCTGCTGCATAATCTTCAAAATTGCATTTTAATGACTGAATTATGTTTCATCAAATGATTATATTATAGTTATAGTTCCTTTACCTACATTGTTAAACATTTTAGTTATTTCTTAAACAGAACCTAAAATATAATTATCAGGTAGGACTTATTTAGGGAACCTCAGCTTTGCCTACTTGCACATTTTCCTGACACCAGGAGGGCAAGGAGGCAGATACAATTCACTCTCAGTGTATCACATTACTCCTTCTCCAAACCCACACCTGAGCAGTCAGTAAAATCCTGTGTCTGTAAAAATGAGAAAGGAATAAAACTTTCGTTCCTAATAGTTCAGTCCATTTCTTATTATTCATATAGGTATAAATAAAAAGACTTTTTGTTTTAGAAAAAGCTTGCAATTTATGTTTCTGTACATTTTAACATGGCATCTCAGCTCTTTCCCAATTATTACTTGTCTTGGTTGTTTCTAGGACAGCTGTTATTGAAGTCAACGACATCATAATGCAGAGTTCATTTTCAGTACCACTGAAAGATCAAGGTAAGATAAGCTATGCCAGGGAAAATGGTAATGTGTGTGTTGTAAGGAGTTTTAATTGATACATTTAATGTCACTGCCCACTAACCAAAGGGTAACTTATTTCTGGAACGAATTATATAAGAAAGTTTATTTATTTTGGTAAATTCCTTGAGTGTCTATGGAACCATGGTTTATAAATGACACTTTTTTACTGGAGATTAGGAAATCAGTCCTGAGTATTCATTGGAAGGACTGATATTGAAGCTGAAACTCCAATACTTTGACCACCTGATGGGAAGAGCTGACTCAATGGAAAAGACCCTGATGCTGGAAAAGATTGAGGGCAGGAGGAGAAGGGGACGACAGAGGATGAGATGGTTGGATGGCCTCACCGACTCAATGGATATAGGAGTTGGTGATGGACAGGGAAGCCTGGCATGCTGCAGTCCATGTGGTTGCAAAGATTTGGACATGACTGAACGACTGAACTGAACTGAACTGAACCCCTTTACTGAGAGTAGGGTCATCTCATTCCACACAAAATTTGCAGAGCCCAGGCCATCAGCCAGCAGCTAACTGGTGTTAGTAGATGTTAAATGAGGTTGCAGAGTATTGGCTTAAAAAAAAAAAAAAAAACTTTGGTATTTTTAAAAAATATTTTTTAAAAATTTATTTTTGGCCACACTGGGTCTTTGTTTATATGAGTGGGCTTTCTCTAGTTGCAGCAAGTGGAGGCTGCTCTGTAGTTGTGGTGCACGAGCTTCTCATTGTGGTAGCTTCTCTTGTTGCGGAACATGGCCTCTAGGGCAAGGGCTCAATAGCTATGACCCACAGGCTTAGTTGCTCTGTAGTGTGTGGGATCTTCCCAGACCAGGGATCTAACTCATGTCCCATACACTGGCAGGTGTATTCTTAACCACTGGACCGCCAGGGAAGCCCCAGAGTATTGACTTTAATGAAGCAGAGTGACATGTGTTCTAGTGAGAGAGGTGTATACAAGCATATATACATATATATTCATGCACACATGTGCACACACAACATACATGTAACAGAGAGGCTATTTTCTTATTCATTTTTGACTTATTTCTTCCCATATACCCATTTTAAAAAGAAATGTAAAAGAAACAAATTCCCCCCCCATATGATTTTTTTAAATGAAAATCATGATTTCTTAACAAGAGCTCCTGGACCTTTTAGAAAAGCAGTTTACGGGTACAGATAATCATTTTTGAGTAAAGAGTAATTTAATTTTCCTCAGTATGCAGAGCAAACAAAGCCTAACCTTTAAGAGGAATTCAAGTCTTTCCCCGGCCTCTGTATATTCTCTTCCATACAGAAGAGAAGTTTTGATACATGTGTGAGGAAAAAAAAATGCCTTTAAATGATTCAGAATTGGGCTTCGCTTGTGGAAGATGTGGGCTTCCCTGGTGGCTCAGCCATAAAGAATCCACCATGCAGGAGATGTGGGTTCGATCTCTGGGTCAGGAAGACCCCCTAGAGAAGGAAGTGGCAACCCACTCCAGTATTCTGGCCTGGGAAATCCCATGGATGAGAAACCTAGCAAGCTGCAGTCCATGGAGTCACAAAGAGTCAGGCACGACTGAAGCAACTACCCAGCAACAGCAGTGGAAGGTGTAACTGTTAGTGCGTGGAAGGAATTTGCTTTAAAGAGTCCTTAACTGGAGAAAACATTCTCTGCCAGAGTGAAAGGTAGTGTCATAGCTATAAAGAGCATGGGGTGTTTGAAAATCATGTCTGCCCCGAATTGCATAACCTTGGGTACATTACTTGACCTTAACTTTCTCATCTATAAATCTATAAAATGAAGATAGTAAGTCCTACCCTCTAGGTGATGTGGAGATGAAAGGAGATAATACATGTAAATCACCCCAGACATTGCTCGCTGTAGAGCAGGCCCTTATGAGATGATGCCAGCTCTTGTTCTTAATGGTGGTTATTAATATCCAAGCTCCCCCCGCCTTTAGAGGCTGATACAGTGAGATGGGCAGAGCGCCCTCCTGCTTGGGGTGGGTGCCTTTTAGCCTTCAGAGGCCAAGCATGACCCTGAATTAAATTTAATATATGAATGCTTAAAGCTATTTCAGGCTTCCCTGGTGGCTTGGTGATAAACAATCGGCCTGCAATGCAGGAGCTGCAGAAGATGCAGGTTCGATCCCTGGGTCAGGAAGATCCCCTGGAAGAGGGCATGGCAACCCACTCCAGTATTCTTGCCTGGAGAATCCCATGGACAGAGGAGCCTGGTAGGCTACAGTCCCTGGGGTTGCAAAAAATCAGACATGACCAAGTGACTTAGCACATATGCATGAAAAGCCATTTCAATTCAAAGTACGCAGAAATTAGAATTTGTATCATGAGAAATTATATAATTAATTAAAATAAATATAAGTTAATTATATTGGTCAGAAAAAATAGTATCATACATATGAGGCCTAACAATTGCCCAGTTATTCTTCAATTTACTCATTTATCAAATGTTTTCTGTATGTCCTAGATTGCTATTAACAAAGAAAGCTTCCAGTTTTTTAAATTATGGTTTTGTTTATATTTCTTTCATCAAATATAATCACTTATGGAACATGAGAAGTTGGCTGAGCATATGTCATTTATTAATTAAATACTGAATGATTTATGGCTGTCTATAAAGTATGGTACTTTTGAATTTCAGACTGGTAAGCATGTGTGGATGCGAACACAACATGCACTAATGTATGAAATTCAAGTAGGACATCACAGCAGAGTTGTGGGGCTTAAGAAAACCCATGGCATCATTTACTATCTTCTAACAAAATTTCTTAACAATGGAAGCAGATCTAATGATCACCAAGACATTACTTACCAGGAACTATGCCAAATGCTATGAGAGATCCAAAGATAAATCAGACAAAAGACTGTGCGATTATAAAACACAAAATCCTAGTAGAACAGCAGACATGTATCTAATCAAACAGAGTAAAGCATGACAAATGCTGCATTAGACCTGAATACGATGTACCTGGAGAACAGTTGATTGAGCCAGAAGTTTGAGGCTGGTCAGGAAACATGACCAGATGTGGCATTTGCTCAGGACATGAGCAGAGGTGTAGAAGACAGAGGTGGGGGTTAGGGGTCAAGGGACATGGATTAAAGCTGGGAAAGAACTAGATGAAACTCATTAGAAATTCCAGTGCCTTCTATTTAAATGTTTCCTGATTTTGGATAAAGAATTTTAACATTGTAATATCACTCAGATAGTTTGTACTATGTTAAAAGCTTTCCCCTATTATAATAGTGTTGATATTATCCCTTTCTGTGTGAAAATATTATTTACAGAATCTCCAGAAGTTCATCAAATGTATTTTGTTACAATTTCCTATCTTCTCATATTTTGGATTTGGAGATTTATGGTTTTCCCAAAGCTTTCTTTTTTTGTTTGACATTTTCAAATGAGGAACTAATAAAAATGTAGGGACATGTATTTTGTGTTGGAAGACAGCAAACTATAGCAAGTGATTAACCATGTTTCTGGGGTAGGGAGGGGGAAAATTACATGCTAAGGCCAGCTATAATGATAACCTATACTGTAACTTTGTTGAAGGAAAGAAAACACCACTGGGATTGAAAATGCAAATGGATTTGTTATTGATAGGAGGAAACATACAAATGAGCAACCTTGCCAAATTGTCCTTTTAGAGGGACAGTTTATGTTTTTTATGTGCCTGGAAGACATAGACTGTGGTTTGCCAATTAAGCATGAGTGTTAAGTCCCCATACAGTTAATTAAAACAAGTCCCACTCTTCATTGGTTAGGAAAGAGTCTTAGGTCCAGGGCGTGGCTGTTTTGCTGGAGTCATTCAGAACTCCCAAGACTTTTGCCAGTTTCACCCTTCAGTCTTGCTGTTTCCTAGGCAAGATGATTGTGAGTAGAAAGGTCTTACAGAAATCTAACACTTTTTTCAGCTCTGTCATAACATTTATATTGTTTAAACATATTTATCAAATTGTGTGTGCTGTTTTTATTCAGTAAGAGTAAGAATAAATGGAGCTGAGAAAATGGCAGATGCTTTGAGGCAAGATGTAGTGGGTCTTAATGACCCCCTTTGGAAACATTGCAGTTAGCTGAACATGCTCTGTACAACTCCTACTAGTTTTCAAAGCCTGTGCATTATTTAACTGTGAAGCCATAACCATTACTGTCTATCATGTGAATTCAGGTTTAAAGCTGGTAAAAAAAAAAAAAAAAAACACCCTGGATTTTCTGATTCAATAAACTTCTATGGAAAAATAATCATATCACAGCCTAAAAATATATTCTTATGTCTTACAGACATAAAAATATGTACTAACATCTCACAGAAGTAAATGTTTTGGTATTAGTGAATATAGCATTTCAACTAAAGGGATATGTGGGATAGGTAGTTAATTACATATATATATATTTTTTAATTTAGGAAAATAATCTTACTTATTTTAGACTCTTAATATCAGGGGGTGTGTGTATGTGTGTGTTCAGTTGCTCAATTAGGTCCTTTATAAACTTCTTCATGAATTTTCTGTCTTTGGTGAGCTTTAAAGTATCCTGGCATATAGTGGTTTCTCAAATACATACTAAATTTTGTTTAAAATTGCTTTAAACTCTCAATTTTTCAAAAAAAATCTTATTGCCTGGATGCTGTGAAAACATTTTAATCTGTTTTTTAATGAAACACCAAGCTGAAGTTCTCAAGTCTATGTGTTTATTTAACAAATATTTTATTGCCTTTGGAGAGGCAAGGAACAAAGTTGAGGGAAGAGGCAGCCAAAGTACGGTCCCCTTTCTTAGAGCTCAGATTCAGTGAATAAAACTGGGCTGTCTTTCCAAGCATTTTACTGTTTGTGAGGATTTAATATGAAAGTGGTTTGTTGTCTTGTTGTCTAATCACAGTTTCATCCTTCGAACGTAGTACTAAGGCTGTTTCCTAAGCTCCTCTCCTGTTTTGTCTTCTCTCCTCCCCTCTGCTCTCAGTCCGGGGAAAGAACCA